ACACACACACACACACACACACACACACACACACACACACACACACACAGGAAATGAAGAAACCTCTACAGCGGAGGGAAAAAATACGGTAGCTGAACAGACCCTGTCTGTAAATAGCTGACCCTGTGGTCTGGAGGAAATTGAAAACAAAATTTTCCTGCAGGGATCAACAAAGGATCACAGTGTTATCACCATTATCATCTCACACACACACGCACACACACTTCAAACCCAAATATTCTGCTTAATGGACCTAGAGTTGTGCAAAAATGGCAGTTAAAAACAAATAACGAAGTCAAAAGTTGGACAATCTTCTGGCGCAACTTAAAGAAAAATAAAATATTAAAAAGCTGAGATAAACTTCATACCGCAGCATTGCAGAGGCTTCAGATGTGAGCTGATGCAACATGGAAGACATATGCGCAGAAATATTTGATGAAGCATGAAATGTTTTTGCATGAAAATTGTAGTTCCTCACAGAATCGCTGTTCGTGAGGGTGTGCTGATTATGTCAAAAGTCTTTCTTTCATCTGTCGGCGGGTAACGGTGGGAAAAAGCAAGGGGAAGAAGAGCACTTGCCAACTGCAGCATAAAAATAATAGGGACTATCTTAAAATAGCATCAGTACACAGCATCAGATACTGTTTGGAGAAACGAAGAGCGTAACGTGATGAGGCAGTTTTGACAATCTCGCTCTGTCTTCCACCTTTTTACTCAGCACAAATGGGAGCTGAAAGCAGCCGTGTAGATTTACACGTGCACGTACGGTATGTGTGGGACAGCTGTTCTGTCGAGCTCGGATAAACACTGCAGATTTCCTCTCTGCCATGTGTATTTCTGGCAGTTTACTTCTGTGGCACAAAGTATCGGGATGTGAGAACTTTATCGGAGAGCTACTGACATGTACCTGAACCCTAATCTGCCTAAAATCTGAAGGATTAGTCGGCATTACGCAGAGTAAAATGTGTCTTTGCTGAAGAGTGTTCGCAAACAGTTTCCTGGTGTGGCCGGAAAGACCTCTCGGTGTCCCCAGCAGTGTCGGCGGTGGCAAAGAGGAGGGTCTGCGAGCCATATGGTGAACAGTCTGCCATCTACTATGTGAGGTTGTGCTTTCACAGTCTGACAGCCACCACGCACGCGCCTGCCCTGCCCAGACACAGAGGTGCTACCTGCAAAGATAACAGGAAAAACATGAGGAACACAGTCAGAGATGTGGATTGTTTATATAACTGAAAATTACTATTAAACTACTGACTTGCATTGTTTCATAGTTTTGAAAACGTTGAATGTAAAGACTGCAAATTTGGATACATATGGGATACGGCTATATTTTTAAATGGTCTGCAGCTCACTTGAGCAATTATTTAATTTCATTTTAGTCTTTTGGGGGAACAAATTTATTGATTTTGGCTCAATAAAAAAAAAACAGTTTTGAGTACAAATGCTGTAAATAAATCTACAGCAGAATATCTGCCCCGTGCCCGAGGGTAGTGATCCAAAATAATGGGAGATAGACTGATTCTTATACAGCAATCTACTTACTCAAAGAGCACTTTTTTTAACAAGTGATTTTTATCTAACATTCACACACACAATCACACTCCAATCAATGCATCGGGACTTTGGGTTCTGATTGTAGGGGTCAGTATTTTGCTCAAGGATATTTTGGCATGCAGGCTGGAGCAGCCAGGAATCCAACCACCAACCTTCAAACTTTACCGCCCAAAACACGAGTCAATACCAGAAAAAAACAAAAAACAAACTAGAAACATGACTCTATGGGAATGATAATATCCTGTTTGACTTAAAAGTTTATAAGCACCTTGTTAACATATACAGATGGATAGCACACACGTGCTGATACACAGACGCGCACTCTCTTGACTACGCCGAATTTACTAATGAAGACTACTTGATATAATTTAAAGCTTGAGAAAAAAAAAAGCTAAACAGAATTGAAATGACTTTGTTGGCTGCTTTAGGTGTGCTATTCTCCACAGTCTGGATCTATTAGGTGGTGATGGATGATCTCAGTGGCAGCCAATTTCAGTTTTACTATCAAACCTCATCCAGAGCTTACTTTTAAGATGCTTCAGCTGCAGTCTCTGCTGCCTCTGCAAGCCTCTTTGCAACCTACGGTGTCCCTATCGTACTATTTTTGACTTGACTTGTGTGTATAGCTGTGCTCAGAAGTTTACGTACACTCATGGCCACGATAATTTTGGGCTATTTCGTTATTTCTTTCTGTTCTTGTTCCAGGGTGCAATGATTGTATAGCATACATCTTTAATGACTTTAAAAAACACTCAAGCCAGTGATGTGTGTACGTAAACTTTTGACCAGAACTGTAAATGCACCGAATGGGAGGGAGATCCCTGAATAGAGTGATGCTGCCAAACAAAAACTGACTGCAGATGGAAATAACCCATCATAGTTATTTGGAGTAAACGGGTCCTGAAAGTGAACGGAAGGAAATGGGTTATTATGTGACTGCGGGGAATGCATGCTGTTGATATCAACAGTGAGCCCAGCAGGGAGCAGAAAGTGACGATGATAACCGAGTGGTGGAGGTGGAGGTTTTAAAGAGCATCAGTAAGTGGTGACAGCACAGTTTCAGGGGAACACAGTGAAGCTGTAACTGCAGCAGCAGACATGAGTCAACCACCTGAACCAGCTGACAGGTTTTTATGCCGAAATGCCAAGGTAATTTCTTCTAATATCATTTTGAACAAACGGACTCATTTCCACATAATTTATAATAATAAAAAAAGAGGAACAAAGAGAAGGCATCAGTGTTTATGTTTGACATCACTGTTACTGCACAGACAAACCATGCTGAGCCTCCTTTTAGCACCTATATTACCCGATTTGGCATTATTGAGACTGACAGATTTGTGCCAAAGCCAAGAGTGGAAGTGATGCCACTAGGATGGCACTGACAATACACCAACTGATTTGTTTGTTTAAGTCTCTGACAGTAGATACAGGACATATTTAATGGTCTCAGCATTTCTTCTCTCATCTGAGTTTGTCCTCGTCCCTCCCTGCCAGTCTGAGCAGTTCAATGCATTCTGCTTCCTTCCTCCCACACCTCTCTTGTTCTCAGCATGGTGCCTGTCTCTAAAATGGCAAATTTTAACAGAAAAATCTGCCAACCAAAGTTGGAAATCCTCTGAGCCTACGTGGGAGATGGGGTATAAACTGAAGAGTGGCAGAGACTCCTGAAAGCCGCTGAATGAGATCACTCAACTTTGAGCGGCAATATCCAGCGGCAAGGACAATATTAGCAGGAGGAAAACACACATTTACATAACAAGGAAAACATGCCAAGATACATCGGAGAGGAGCTGAGGGAAGGTCAAACTGTGACTGAGTGTTTATACATTTCATCTACTGATTGTACATTTGTGTTTTACTACACGTTTTTTACTGAACTGCTTCAGTGTGTGAGTGTTCATACCTGGATGCCCTCTCTGGATACTCTCAAGCTTCACTTGGTTCACATTTTGTCATACTTTCAGTCTTATTCCAAACTGAATTAAATTAAATTTTCAAATTCCAAAAAGATCACATGTACAGAAGTATTCACAGCCTTTGCAATAACACTCCAAACTGAGCTCAGGTGCATCCTGTTTCCACTGGTCATCGGTCAGATGCTTCTACAGCATGACTGGAGTCCACTTTGGGAAATTCAGTTGATTGGACATGATTTGGAAATGCACACACCTGTCTATATAAGGTCAAATAGTTGACAGTGTCAGAGCACAGACCAGGCTAATGGTCCATGGACCTCTGAGACAGGAACATGACAAAATGTGGAACAAGTGAAGTGCTGTGAATACACAAAATGCAGTGAATGAGGTTAAAGAGACACAGATTTGCTGTGCTGTGCACGTGTCTGCATACAGTACCTGTTTCCACTCATTTGTCTGAGGGTCGTAAGCTTCCACAGTATTGAGATACACCTGGCCGTCATACCCGCCCACAGCGTACAGACGATCACCAAGGAGACAAACACCTACGGCATCTCTGCTGATGCTCATGGGAGCCACAGCTGTCCACACATCTGTCTGAGGGTCATACCTGCACACAGGAGTTCACACTGTAGTTCAGTGGTTTGTAGTTGGCGTGAGATGATGTTCATTAGCTCAGCTTAACATGAATACTGGAAGTAAAGGAAAACAGGCTATTCAAAAATAAATACCTAATTTTCACCCCTCACTTTGTGCCATCTCATTTGTTTAATTTCACAAAACAGAAATGACAGGATCTTGCTTCAGTCACATGCTGTGACCACTTCTTAGCAAAACAGCTGGACACAGTAACTTCACAGATTTGTTTCATGCTGAGAATATAGCCCAGAAGAAGCGGATAGTATAGCTTTTATTTTGGAAAGAGACATTTCTCTGTAATAAACTCTCTTTTCCAAAGATGAGTGATTCCTCAATCAGATACAGGGCTCGCAATATCGCTAGCCCGACGTCCGGGGCTATCTCTGCCCTGCCTGTCGGGCTATTGTAGGAAGGAAAAATATATGTCAATGCTTTTGCATTCTTTCAGAAATGTAGCTGGGTAATTATGTCATTGGACGTGAGCCACTGTCAATATGTGACATATTGAAATCGTGTTTGAATTTGCGCTTGTTTTTTTGCTTTCACTTTGCAATCGCGCGAACTGTGTATAGAGAGCGACAGCACTGATCTGTGAGTGATGATAATTTGTGCACCAATTCCTCTGACATCGTCTTATTAATCGTTAGCTTACTATGCAAACATGACAAGTGAAATCTCCCGCAGCGCTTAAACATGTGAGAGGTTGATCGCGCAGAGAATCGCTGAGCTTATGTGAGTGCGGCAGGATATATATTTACTACGATGACCTGGATGATTGAGAACCTTCACAGACAGATATATATTTTAGTTCTGCTGAGCCAAATAAGACAGGTCAGGGTGAAGAAGTGACAGCCAAAGAAAAGCTTACCACAAAACGGAGAAGTTATGACAAATCAGACTATAAGGCAAAAAGAAAGTGCAGCTTTATGGTTTCATGGACAAAAGAATTTCTGTGGCTGCAATATGAGAGCTAAAAAACAACACGCACAAGGGTTAGGTTAAATTTAAAAACTGTACTTTTGGTTAAAATATATATTTATAATTTTAATAAATGACAAATTAAAAAGCATGAACATTTTTTTTGTATCGAAAAAATATCGAACCGTGACACCAAAGTATCGAACCGAACCGAACCGTGAATTTTGTGTATCGTTGCACCCCTAATATATATACATATATATATATATATATGTATATATATATATATATATATATATATATATATATATATATATATAATATATATACACATATATAACATATATATATACATATTATACACACATATATACATATACACACACACATAACACATATATATACACACATACATATATAATATATGTGTGTGTGTGTGTGTGTGTATGTGTATGTGTATGTATAATATATATATATATATATATATATATATATATATATATATATAAATATATATATATTATATATATATATATGTACTGTATGTATGTATGTATGTATGTATGTATATATATATTGTTCATGTAAGCAGCTGCATCTTTGTCCTTGAGCAGAGATTCAAATGTCCTTTCTTACTGATGCGCTGACAGTAGTCTTACACTCAATTATAATACACACAATACTAAATCAAGGTCAAACCCTGCTCCCATTTAGTATCTTCATTAGCAAGATTAATGAGTAATAATTCTGCACATTGCAATGAGGATTCAAAAGACACTAAAATCTTTCCATTAATTTTACAAACGCTGCCACTGTATGACAGACACATTATAAGCACCACAATACTTTAGCATATTTCAAATCAAGCAAACACATTCATAAATGTGGACTCACCTTTCCACACAATCACTTAACCGAGATGCCAGGGATGACGCCGGAGCATCGTGGCCTCCGATGGCGTACAGGAACCCGTGCCACGTGGCCACGCCCACACCTCCACGCCTTTTAGCCATAGGGGCACAACCACTCCACCTAAAAATGAAGAATACAGTTAGAAAAAAAGGAGAGGGAAACATATTGTTTGAAAATTACTTTACTCTTTCCAGTCCTTCCAGTAGACCTTAATCAAAGTACATGACAAGCTTTTTTCAGTGTTGTCTGTTCTAACATCCTGTGAGGGTTACTAGTCTCCTTTGATCTGTGGGTAAATAACCTAACAGGAAGAAGCGCTTCACTAGAGGAACATGTAGACAGGAAACAAAATAGGAGACAGCAATTAGTTGCTGACAGATGAAGTCCCCGGTCTCTGACCTGTTGGTGTGGGGGTCGAAACACTCCACTGAACGCAGGCAGGATGAGCCGTCACGACCTCCTACTGCATACAATCTGAGGAAGAGGGAAGATGGTGTTATCCCTCTGAACATTTCTGGACTCTGGAAGTCCCTTTTCAATTTAGTGACACTGAAGCAGATGGTACAAGGTGGAAGACAGGCATATGTGTGTCTGTGTGTGTAGCTTGTGAAGGTTTTTTTGAGGGCAAAATGAGGTGGGAAAAATCAATCAGCCATCACTCTTGGTGCAACACAACCCTGAGCAGTCAGTCTGTGTGTGTGTCCTTGTGTGTGTGTGTGTGTGTGTGTGTGTGTGTGTGTGTGTGTGTGTGTCCGTCCATGGATGTGAAGTTGGGACGGTAAAGAAAAAAATGAAACGGGGCCAGTCAAGCAAGTAATGAGTTCCATCAGGCAAAGCGCTCTGAGAGTACACAGCACATACAGTACATGACACACTCACCAAAGCACACAGCAATGCTCACACACACACTAACACACACACACAAAACTGCTGGGCAAGGTTAGCCGTTGCTTCTGTATTAATTAGCATCTATAAAGCATTTCACTGTCTCTGAGGCCCTGAATAATAAAAACAACATGCAATATTTGGTTCTAATAACTTCCAATTCTTTGGCCAGCGAGGCACTAAAAGCCCTAAAGCCTTATTAAATCCAGCTATTTAAATAAATGTTCGTCTGTGTGTGCATGTGTGTGAATGAATATTGTTATGCTTTCCATTACTGCCTCACGTGCCTTACAGAAGAAGGTGGGAAGTGACAGTAGTATAAACGTAACACTTTTATCTTCCAAACAAAGAGCGAGATTGTGAAGGTTTCAGGTCTCACGTTTCTCAAATGACAAAATATTTACAAAATCTTCTCTTTATGCCACACGTATCAAGTCACATCTTGCATGAAATTATTTTTTATTTGATTTTTGAGAGAAATATCAGCAGCTGGTAACACTGGCTTCAAGCTTAGCTGGCAGATACTTTTGCTTAAAGTCATTCAAATAAATATAGAATATCACATTTTAACCCCCCTGGCGCCTGCACTATGATTCATTTGTAGTATCTTGTCTGTATTGGTATTATTTAACTTTGAAATATGTAATTTAATGCTGCACTTTGAGCATCCTAGTTTATTTTTTTATATTTACATTTATATTTCAATTGAGGTTGCATTCTGCTACTTCCAAATGTCCACAGCAACACATCAGGGGCAACAATTAGGGCCCTCTTTGACAGACAGGTGTCCCTACACGGTCAATGATTGCCTCCTTGGCTTCACCTGAAATGGCCCTTTACACTGCGTTTGTGATGTTGATGCCTTTTGGAGCCCTTTAAACTTGAATTAACTAACAAATTATATGGCTCGCTATGTGTAACAGATGCAAAATGCTAATTCCAAAACCAAAACGTCTACACTCCATAACAAACGGCCAAAGCTGTGTTTTGTGCTAAAACAGATGCGCTAATATTGAATGCACTTAATATAACTTAGAACAAGCAAATCTGAGTAACTTTTTACCTGAGGGGAATTGTGAGATCACTTACTTGCCATTGAGAACAGCTACTCCTACTGTGCTTCTAGGTGTAACCATGCTTGCAACAAAGCTCCACTGGCGTCCTTGAGGGTCCCACCTGACAGACACAGTGTAATTTCTCAATCCTGCTCAAGGCACAGCATAAAAACCTGTATCTCTAAGGTCTCAGTCACACAGGCTAGAGACCGGTCAGCAACTCCCTGGCAACCTCCAGTCACTAGGGAAAAATGTGTGAGTGGGGCTTTAGCAATCATTTCACAGCAGCTGCCATCAAACTCAAACAACCCTCACTAACTGCTCAGGAAACGTCCATTTTTTCCTCGTGACCAGTGGTTGCAACCCAATGTGACCTAGGCCTTACCAATAATGAAATATGTAATGTTTAAGAAGGGAATCAAAATATCTGTCAACAGTAAAATGTCATTTTAAAGAGAGACAGCCGTGTCTCCACAGAAAAACAGTATAAAAAAGCAGGGATATGAACAGCAAAAGCTGGTCATACAAACCCAAGTTTACCCATATGACTAACTACCAGACAAAGTAAGTGACACTATTTAATAATTTGGATGAATTGACCCTTTAAGCTGGGTTGATATCACAGAAAAAAACAGCAGTGTGAAGTTATTTTGCACCTTTCCACTGTACTGAGGTAACTCCAGCCATCGTGTCCTCCTACTGCATACATGGGTCCCTCTAGAACAGCCACACCTGCAGAAGATAAACACACGTACTATTAAATCATGAAAACTTCTCAAAACCAAATCAGCCAGGATAAGCAAAGCATCACACATATAAAGCATCATACTTTTAGGACAAGAGGTGTTAGTTTTTATGTGTGTGTGCAACTACACCCAGGGCATTAGGCATGTAGAGTTAGCAGCATGTTGACACCTCTGTACTTCAGGGATTTATCTGCCTAAACATCTGTGCTGCCAGATGTGTTTGAAAACCCACCACGGTTCACACACTTGCACACTTTCGTAAACACAATAAAACAGCACAGCACGCCTTATCAAATGTTGTTATAGTAATAGCAGGACACTGCTGTGAGTGGGGAGATTCCTTTCAAATGAGAAACATGGGCTCAAACCAGCCTGCTGAAGTGTTCTTGAGCTGTGGCACCGAATCTGCTGATCCGCTGCAGTTGAGTTGCTCTTTTTTGTCACTTTATTGCGTTAGGAAGCAAGTGTAAGGACAACGTTTGAAGGATTGAATCCAATTTCATAACCAAATATTTTTTTTCTTCAAAACTTTACTTTTATATCACAGTGCTTAATATCTTTGGGACACAGTTTATCCACAATGGAGCAGGGTGTGTCTGTAAGGTGCATCTAAGCTTCTGTTTTGATCAAAATTTGTAAGGTAAAGTCCAGTTTATAGAACAGCACAAAGTGAAGACATGCAGGAGTGTATCGACGGCAACTAAATTTGAGATAAAGTATAAATACAGCCCAAACAGGACACCTACCTTCTTGACTCAAAATTCAAAATCTAAAGCAAAAATAAAAGAAAATATAAGTTGTCAAACTGCCCTCACCTAGGCCATGCCTGTGTGTGGACATGGGGGGCATGACGCTCCAGGTTTTGCTGTGTGGGTTGTAACACTCCACAGTGTTGAGTGTCTTGAGTCCGTCTCGCCCTCCAACTACGTAGAGACGCCCGTCGAGGACTGCTACACCAAACTGTAGTCTCCGTCCACTCATGGTGGCAACCTGCCTCCAGGTGTCTCGACGTAAACAATACTGCTCAATAGTCGTGGCACCTGAAAAAAAAAAAGAAAGAAAGAAGAAGAAGTACGTGCTATTAATTCTGAAACTCTCTAAACTGTACTTTTTCACACTTTGTCCTTTTATGCATTAAAAAAACAATTCAAACTTGCACCTTCTTGATAACACCTTCTCACAGTTGTAGGATAGTGTTAAACCTGTTGACACTGATGCTCAATATTTCATTTAAAGGTAGAACTAAAGGAGCTGCTCATTAATGTGGAATCTGTTAAGCTATTAAGGTGAACCTATTATGCTTGTCCTTACTTCCTGTAGAACCGACTCGGTTCCTCACACTACACATGCGGTCAGCAAATGTACAAGTAATTCCTTTAAGCAAAAAAACCCTTCAGATTACCCTAAACAGCCTGTTTAGTGAAGGAATACCCTTAATATGGTAATGTCAGCCATATAGCTGTGGCTGTGAGCAGAGATGCCCCATCTATTGAAATCTTCTGTTTGTAATGGGCACCAATCAGAACAAAGCTTTTCTAAATGGAAGTTACCGACTCTCAGTTTGTAGCATTTGTCACAGTTTAACTGTAAGCTCAGTCCTCCTCTACCACAGCATCACCTGTGTCTGGATGTGAGATGCTGTTGTACCTTTCGTAGCATCCATGCCACCCACAGCGAACATGGCTCCTACGGTGGCCTTGCGAGGCCGAGTGCGGGGGCTCTGAAGCAGGGGCCGACGCTGGGGTAAAAGGTGATACTTCATCCCCTCCATCAGGAGGCGTTGGCACTCTACACTCTCCCGGAGGAGAGGGTTGCTCTCAAGGTCCGCTAGGAACTACAGACACATGCAAAAAAGAAATGAGAAAAAAAAGCAAAGGCATCAACACGCAGAATCATGTGACAGCTGCAGCTGGAATATATGGAGGGCACACGCATGTGCTACATCAGTATGGGTGTAGGGACATGTTGGCTGCGATGTTATCGCTGATTGAGGAGGTTCAAGAGCCGAAAGAAGGCTGCTCTCTCTCATTGAGAGATTAGATGAGATCAGACCAACAACCATTAATGCGCTCTCGCACACGAGACCACGCACACACTGATCATCTGACACACTAGAGAACTAATCTGCCCTCAACATCTAATCAGCTCTCCACACCCTATAACCTCATCTACAATCACACACACACGCAAAGACACAGACACACAAATACCCAGGGGCTGCAGCAATCCACAGCCTGTTCCTGAAAACACATCCTGAGGAAACTGCTGCCTGTGAGAGGCATGGTAGTGAGAATCAAGTTTTCCCTGAAGCATGGGGGGGAATACATGATTTACATTTAGATAGGTATGTGTTTGTGTGTTTGTGTGTGTGTGTGAATTTCGAAGTCATTTTAGGTTAGACTTTGAGAATGCCTGCATCTCTGTTTTTGTCCCGCATGTTCAGATAGTCACTTAGATTCAATCACAGAGAGCAGGTATAATGGAAGAACTAGAAGATAAATAAAAAAGAAGAGGAAAGAGATTATTATTTTTACCCTCTCATTTATTTTCTGTGTTCTCCTCCATAATTCCCACCAACACAAATAACATTCAGCTCAAATAATTCAACTTGGTCACTGAATATAAAATCAATTTCCCCCCCGCCAGACGTGGAGAGCGTAAAGCAGGCATGGTAAATGGATAAGCAGCTTACACACCAGGGTGAACCCACACTTCTACTGCGTACAATCACTGAGGGACAAATTACGGCGAACCCTATTTGCGCATTCATTCATGTGCATGTGTGTTAAAAAAACGGACAGATCGAAAAAAAATAGTGTTTGTCCTCTCCGGTGGTATTTATACATCTCTCTGTGAAGGACTGAATGTGGAGGATGAGATAAGACAGCTTGCTGCAGGCGTCCCACCTTGTCCTCTCCGTCCTCTCTTTACCTCACAGTGGGCAGAGAGAAACTTGTGTTATCTTCTCTGTTTCAGCTCACGCTTGAGAGAGAGAGAGGGGCAGCATGGGCTCTGTCTTCTTCTAAAAAAAAAAATAGGCACACTCTCATACACACATCTTCCAGCTACGCACATTTTTTATTCCTTATGCGTGTCCCTGTTGCTGGATGTGCTCTTGCTCTAGCTGTCCTCTCCATCTTGACTTTTTGTGAACACCATACCACTGCACAAATTCCCACAAAACACAACTTACAAACAATACTGCTATGCAAATAATTTAATATACAATTTTAATCATTTCAGATTTAATGTTGTCCTTTGAGGCAGTTCACTGGTTTTAGGCCTGACTGTAATATCTCAGGAACTACTGGGCGTACAGCCATGACATTTTTTCCACATACAGTCATGGTAGCCACAGTCTCTTTCATTTTAGTGCCATCATTTTAGCTGTATATTTACTTTTTCCAATACTTGTACCATATCTTGTATTTAGCACTAAAAAATACAAGAAATGAACTCATTCAGTGCTAAAAAAAATGCTGGCATCCTCACGTATTAAAGTGAAAATCTAAGTGGTAAGTAAACATTATACCTGTGAAATAAACTAGCATATTAGCACTGTCGTATTAGATTTACAACATTTGTTTTTTTAGCATCGTGTTGTTGGAAGGCGGGCTTTTAAATATATAATACATCTCGATTCAGGTTTGCAGTAATCCATATTCTTATAAACATATTAAGAGCCAAGGCACACCATGATAAATAAAAACGTGCCTGGAATATGTTAATTTATCACCATGAGGATAATTTGGGTGAAGGCCTATTAAGTGATCATCATGTGCAAGTTTTATTAAATTCTGACAAATAGTGTAGAAGGATTACCAATTCATCATCATTTAGCAAGACGCTTACTTCTGCTTTTCTGCATACCTCATACATACAGGTTAAGTTCATTGAAAGGTCATATAGTATGGCTGGAAACAAACGCATACACATGCACCTACACACACACACACACACAGAATACGGACGCTGATGTTGTTCATATTCCTGCTTAAGAATGTCACGTGTATTTGTAATTGCATATTCTTGTATGTGACAATAAAAAGGGCTGTAGCGAAGGAATCAGTTGAAGTGAGCTGAGTTCAGGTGAAGGAATCTTTTCCTCAACTTTGGCTGACACAGAGAGCACCTTCTTGCCTTGTTTTGTCGTGCAGTTGAGTGTCTTGTGTTCCAGCGGGGTTTGTGCCTAGATAAACCCAACAGATGAAGACACCCACGCAGGCTTCAGCTGCCAACATGCTCCATCAGACCTGCTTGTCGGTTGTCATCCTGCCTAAAAGCGCTAAATTTCCACTGGTCACAGATATTGTACAAGCTGTCATACAGCTGTTTGGTGTGTACCGTCAGGCTGATGCACTTCTGAGGAGATTAGATGAAGAATATATATGTGAATGTGTATGAGTGGAAACAGGGATTGGGAATTAAAACATTTCATCTGGTGAATTGACATCCTCTTGATGAATAATAACATGGTGGCCTAGATAGAGAGCTAACTAATTGGCTGATGAATATTGATCGGTTGTCTGTGTGAGGTTTATGTTTCACTCTATTGGCATTTCACAGCTCGTGAGGATCCTGAATGCTGGCTTATTTGTCAGTTTGTCATGGTGGCGGTGGGGGAGGAGCTGTCACACATGATACACTGTTAAAGGTAAAAATCAACCCTTGGCTCTGTGCCTCTTTTGCTTTCAGTCTCTCTGCTCTGTTGCCACTCTGCTGCTTTACCCCTCTGCCATCCATCTTCTTCCCTGGTTACATGTTACAGCTACTTGTGATTTCAGCTGACCGGGGCGAAGCCATATATCTGAGCTGTTCATGCTATAAAGTGCCAAAGAACAAAAACAGGGCGATGTATAGATGCTGACAGAGATAATGGAAAGACCTGAGGGGGGACAGAGGGAAATTGGTGATAAGGGAGATGAAGAGAACAGATAATTTAGCTGCAGTTACGAGAGATATCACAGTTAATTAAGGTTTTAAAAAGTGTGTGTCTGATTATGCCTGTAGCCCTGGGCAGTAAGTGAAGTTCTGCTTAGCATAAAAACTTCTGAGCATTACAGTATAAGTCAGATACCTGCCACACATACTAGACAGCACATAGAGCTATGACACACCTGACAGAGTAATGGTTATGGTCCCCAGCTGTCTGAAGAGGACAGTGAGACAGAGAGACAGGTTATAACCAAGAGGCCCGAGAGGAGAGAAAAAAAGGACGAGTTAAATTTGGCCAGCACACCGTCAGGGGGGAGACAGATGCACACTCCAACCGTGTACTTTGCTGTTACACATATGAGGACATAAGCATCTTTGACATCTCCCAAAATAAAATCAATAAAATATTCATGCAGTTCTAGCTTTGAAAAGCAAAGACTAATGCAGCACGCTGAGTGAAATGGTCAACAACACAATATAAACACAATGTGCTCTTTGTTAGCTAACAGCGATTAATATATTTTTATTCGAAGAAACCCATGAAGCGCCGCACATCGAGACATGTCGTGTTCACGGCTAAATCTGGTTGACCAGTTATTAGCCTTTAAACAGACACATCTAATTGTCTGTGTATGTCTAAATTTGATTCGAAAGCAAAATGTATTTTTTTAACTATAAAATTCATGTTTACCCATTGAGCAATTTTCTTTTGTTTGGAGATCTAAAAGGTCTAAATTTTGTTAGGAAACGCTTGTGATCAAACAGTAACACATCTAATCAAAGTACACAGAGCAGCATTATCCGATGTTTACGCCTTTGATAAGCTTATGCAATGTTAAGTTTATTCCCTTGCAGAGCTGCCGGGTCTACTTATTAATGCAACTCTGATAATTAATTGAATTTTCACCAGGATCTCTGTATTGTGCATCTGTTTGTTAAATCTTACCAATTTAATTTTCTTGGTAACCAGTGACATTTACCTCTTTGACGCTCTCACCTGTGGTTGCAGCAGCGGGAGTCTGATATGAGCCAGCAGCCGGGGTAGGTGGCGTTGTCGAGTGGAAGCGTCATGACGGACCCAGGTTAGTAAAGACGTAACCACGGTTTCCTCATCCGGCACGTTAATCTCATCAGATGTGAGGAGCCTTTCCATCTCCTCCACTGGTAGTAGGAGGAACTCCTGGCCTCCAACCACCTCCAGAAAGTGCTCCTGGGGGTGCAAAGAAGGTTAGAGTAAAACTGAAGGATGGATGAAATGGACTGGAAGAGAAAGACAGAAGTGGGGGGAGGGGGTTAGAATAGATGAATAATGCATTGCAAAAAAAAAGAAAAAGAAGAAGAACAGCAGAGAGGATTTGAGAGGAGAGAGAAAAGGGATTAAGGGTTTGAAGAATACAAGTGGAGTGAGGAAAAAAGAGGAGGAAATTACAGCTTGAGAAAGGTCAGATAAAAATTGAGAGGAAAAGCTGCAAAAGGGGATCTGGATGAGAAAATATGAGATCTATTGAGTCACAAGACGGGAAGAGATGATGTGACAAAAATTAATGAGTGTAATCGGTTAATCTGACAGTTATTTGCTAAATGAACTGATTAATTGCTTAGTCTATTTGCAGCTCCTTAAATTGCAGATTTCCCTGCGTGTTTTTGTCAAACAGTCCAACAACCTACAGCTGATCACAATCTTGTGAAAGCTTATTTCTCATTAGATGTAAAAAAAAAACCAAACCTCTCAACATATTTCTACCATCTGTAAAATTAAAAGAAAAAACAGAGAAAAAAATGTGACCTGAATAAAAAGGTAGGAATCTAAGCAGTGTCGAAGTCATTCTTGTTTAGCTCTTACACAAAGACTGCAATAATCCTGTAAGCTTTGTGAGTCTGAACGTGTGTTTGAGAGTGAATTACAGACACTGACAGTCACACCCAAAGAAAGCCACCTTTATGACATAATTACCCGAGATTAAACCTTAACAATAATCCACTTACAGAGAACTGGAGAGAAAAAGAGAGGAACAGTACTACAGACAGAGACAGACACGCAGAGTGACGCTGGATGAAAAATGAGGCATGTAAAAAAAAAAAAACACCACACAAAAAAACAAGAGAACAAGAAAAAGAATAATCAAGTCGATGAAGGAGCTATTTCACCGTCACCATAGCAACTCTGTGCAGAAAAACAGCCATTGTGGCAATAATGATTGTGGTGCTGTGTGAATGAGGAGCCAATTTGTTACCAAGAATAAGATGAAGGCTGGGGGTGACTGGAGTCTTACTGAATAAAGCTGTACTGAGGTTAAAGGTGAAAGAATCCTCTTAATTGTTTTTACATGTCACTGTTAAAGACTTGCAATCTACCTAGATCTGCAACATCATTTCCAGCACTGCGTTTCCTAAAGCAGTCTTTTCATTCATTTTCGTGTGGTGATTCTACAAGCAGGGGAGGTATACAAAGATGTGAACTGGCTTTGTACCCACCATGGTGTAGGCGTGAGCAGCCCGATGCAGGTCATGGCAGCCCTGAGCATCAGCATAGGAGCGGATGCCGAGACAGTTGGATGGGTGGAGCTGCTTCATGAGGAAGGAACAGCAAGCCTGAACTACAGATGACAACTGCAGCAGGCAGGAGGCTGACAACAGAGACTCAATGGTGTCTTCCCTCAACTCAAGACGGCCTGGATGACATGAAGGGAAGAGCAGAGGAGCAAGATGGTGAAGAAAGAGAATTTAAAACGTCATAAAAAAATGGAAATAATGAGACTTAATGTTATTTAAGAGATCTGCAGTACTGCAACAAGATCACGTGTGTTCGTCTTTTTAAAAAGAGAATAATCATTAAATATTTAGTTAACATAGAAAATGTAAAGGCAGCTAGAAAAGACTTCCTGGAGATCTTAGCCATTAATAGATGTTGAGCTCACAGTAATGTTGGTGCTTGTTTGCATAATTTAGATCTTGCAGAGTACTGTACAGGACCTGGTCTGTTAATCCTAGCATGTCTTCATACTCTCTGTAATGGAGTATACAACGGACTAACCACACAGTTTACTTTTGCATTTTGCATGTATATTTTGTATATTGTATTGATGCATTCATATTTGTATATACTGATGCTGGAGCACAATTTCTAGATGGTGATGAGATGATGATCATTTCCACCCCCCAAAAGGAGGATAAGCCACAGAAGGTCATTGCTGAAAAGACTGGCTACTCAAGAGTACTGAGAGGAAAGGTGTGGAATGAAGAGGTGCACAAGCAACAGGGATGAGTGCAGTTTGAGGAGAGAAAAGTTGATTGAAGAACTTTGAACAGCTTCACAAGGAGTGGACTGAAGCTAGTGTCAATGCATCAGGATGCACCGCACACTGAAGTCTTGAGAAGACTGCAGCAACTGTCTGCAGCATTTCTAATGTGAAGGCACCACAGCCCTATACGAGGAGGTTTTAGAGCACTTCAAGCATCCATCTGCTGACAGGCTTTATGGAGATGCTGTTTTCCTTTTCCTGCAGGACTCCGAATCTGCCAACAGTGCCAAAACTACTACCAAACTATGAACTATGAAGAATGTACACACAGCGTTCAGATCATCTTCATCTAGACAACAGGTTGTGTGTACTGAACTAGAGATAATGAATATTTACTGGAAGTGAAATATTCTAAGAATACTGGGTGTTATGAGATCTATCATCAAAAATAAAAGCAGAGTACTGCAGTATAAATATATAAATAGAGAATTTGGTGCATTTGTCGACAATTTAATGTTTTTTTAAAATTCCAAAATCATGAAAAAAGAAGTGGCCATGTATCCGTAAAGAGTAACGTGAACATAGAGTTAAGTGATAAAAGCTGATGTCAATGCCCACCCACATCCGCTAATGGCACAGCAGCATATTTGCAAATCTCTTTAAGATGCTTTTGCCTCTGCAAGCCACTTTGCAACCCGCTTCCAGTTCAGCTCCTCCTTCTTATGGTTCTGTTCTATGCTGTAGGTTTGTCTTGCTACTATTCAGTGCATGCACATGGAAGAGAACCACACAGCCAAGCACTATTTACTACAGAGAAGAAAAAAACAATAATTCCTTCTTAAAGATCATCCTGTTTTTCTAAAAAGAAAAAGGGAAGTTGACCACTATATACCTGTGTATGCATATTGCACCAGGACCCACAATGCATCAGGGTCTACACCCTCCATCTTCACCTCGTCCTGCTTGGCTTCCCGCACATCACTGGTGAACATTGCAGCAAAGTAGTCAGACACAGATGAGAGGACAAGCCTGTGAGGAGAGAGTGTCAGGGATCAGTCACAGAAGACGGATGGCTGTAATGGAGCAACAGAAAAAGTTCACTTTGACCTCGCTGACAGGATTGGGTCAGAACACAGATCAGAAAAGAGAAAGAAGAGGCACAACAAAACCATCTGAAGAATGAAACAGGAGGAGAAACCTTAAGGAATAAAAATAAATAAAGCTTGTTGCATTATCAAACAGCATATGCCTTTGGTTAAAAACAATCCCCTCAACTTTCTGAAACTTCCAATCTGATATTAACATACAGCCACAGTAAAAGCCTAAATGTCCCAATCGACTGATTTGTCTCTTTTAACCTCTTTACGTTAAGTGTTAAAGTGTACAGGAATAAGGAAATTGGTCAGACTTCAGCACCAGGTGAGATTTCTGCAGCAGTTAGGAATGTAAAGGTCTCATTATATAATCTCCTTTTAAAAATGAAGGTCGCTGAAAGACCTTTATATTAGAGATGGAAAAAAATGAGTTAGAAACCAGTGTGTGCAGAAAATGGTAAAGAAAAAAAAGTAATTATTTCATCAGTAGAGATTAAAAAAGACACCTAGTGTCCCCTGACCTTCAGTGTAAAAACATACTTTATCAACCATCCATTTAAAAAACAAATGATGCAGAGCCTGAGATCTTTAAAGAAACATAAATGCTATTTCAACAACATTCAGCCAGATTTCTGTCTAAGAAAGAAGAGATGGCAGCTACAACTTTTCAAAGAAATACACAGGCACAGTTTCTAGACTTCCTTCAGTGTGGTACACCACAGTCTTTGTCAGTAATAAGACTGTAAAACCTAACTCATGATGATTCAGACCTCTGGCTTGGAAGATTCTCTCATGATCCATTCTTAATGACTTGCCACACAATCCTTCTATCGTACTGCCAGATCCAGTCAAAAGTGAAGCCCTCCTCTGCAATGCTATCCAGTGTGCTCAGTTGGGCCTTGCTTGACACCCCTCATTTATATAGTATACATTATTTCAAGATGTAACTTTACTCTTTGAATAAGATATGTGTTTAATTTACCCACTGCTAGTTTCTTAATCTTTTTGCACACACTCATACCCCTTGGTTAAAAAAAGGAGAACAGAAACATGAGCAAATCTAGTGATGAGATAAAGGAAGAAGAAAGAAGACAAAAAGAAAAGAAGGGGGAATTTGATTATAATAAGACAAGGTTAATGTAAAATTTAGTGGCAGGAAAGTCTGAGGAAGAAGTTAGCTAGTGTAATGGAAAGAAAGTGAGATGAAGGACAGAGAGAAATTATCTTAAGGTCACTTGTAAGAAGACAGTTAATTAATTCCATTCTGCAACAATCCATTAACCTTTCGTGCCACTGTAAAGTTACACACAGGCACACAAACATCTAGGCATTACAACAGCACTCGTTGGTGAATATTTACTTCCTGCTAGAGATGCCTTTGCACATGAAACCTCCAAGGAAGGATGCAAAATGCCATTGACATATATTTTTGATATCTGATCTAAATGTATCTGAGTAAAAGGCTCCCGAGTAAACCTTTTGAGGTGCAGCAACTAGTCAGTTTAACTGATTAACGTAAAAATAATTCGGAACGTTTGTTCAAGCAAAGTCCCAAACATGACCTGAATGATGACATAAACTCGTGACTCATATTAACATGTTAAACTGGCTTTGTTTGTGGCTACTTGAACATGAGTGTGTGCATGCACTGAATGTGTATAATCTCATTACTGAGTGTGACACTGGGACCTTGACAGATAGCCTGAAGCAGAGAAGAGCTGTGTGAGCGTGTGTGCAAGTGCGTGTGCGTTTATTGTGCAGACAAAGATGTCAAAAATACACTACAGTCAGCAGGAAGTCATTCTGCCAGTATTCTAGTCAGGTATCTCCCCCCCCCCAATCCCCCTCTCCCCCTCTCCCTGGTGCACACACACAAACATGTTCCCTTAATTTTTCATGGGTCTCTGTCTGACTAGCTGTGAGCGACACAGGCTGTATACAGCACTGGGTTATTTGCACACAAACACAAATGCACTGCGCTGAAGACAGAGACAAGACAGGCAGTGTGTCAACGTGTAATGGAAAGAGCAGAGAGAAGACAAAATGCCAGAGTGGAGAGAGCAGGAAACAGACGAGTTGGACTCAGGAAAGGAGGGCAAGCGCTGGAAACTGAACAGTGTGTCTGTTTGTGTTTCAGTGTGGATGTGATGCTCGGTATAGAGACACAGTAGTGGAAAAACAGAGAGGGGAAAATAACAAGCAGGTCGTGAGAAAGACTTGCTTGGATACTGCAACTTTTTGCAGTATCTCTGAAATACAGAGTTAGAAGAGAAGGACCTTTAACTGATAGCTTTGCTGCCAGTCCAGGGATTTCCTATATAAATCCATTTTGGGGCTTTTTACCTGAAACAGTTTTGTTAATTGGGTCTTCATTAGCTCATGTGTATTGGTCATATATTTTATCAGATGGTAGGAAAAGCACAGATTTCTTCCATATATAGCTGTAATTGATTTTAAAGTATGTGCACTACCTATGGTTACCCCTCAAAACTCCATTCCCAGCCAAAGCCTTGAAATTTAGTACAGACTTTAGTACAGAGAATAAATCCTAATGGTACGTATGGTTTGAACCATCAGATTTACTACACACATTCACATCACACTTGGGTTAAGCTGTAAAAACACATCAGTCTATTACATTTTCAGCTATAGCAACAACACACTACAATACTCTGAGCAGGACCCATTATGAACTGTCACAACCTCTGCAGAGCAAACAGACCTGGGTGGTTCATATAAGAAAAAAGCTCCTGGAAGTGGCTGTGCATTGCCCTTTAACAGAGGGGCTGAGGTTAACCAGATGTACACTGGCAAAACCCACCAGTTAGTTTTCTTCATCAAAGTCTTTATTCTTGTAAAACCAACCTTATAAACCCTCTGTTAAAGTTCAGCTCATAGCTGATTCTATTGGTTCTTCTAAAGGGCCCTACAGTCTATTATCCCCCGCAGTGTATCAGCAAAACTGAAGACTCTTGGTCTTGCAGTAATGGAAACAATGAACCGCAGCGCACCTACCTATCAGTCGATATACAGTGATGGTAAAAAAAAGAAAAAGAAAAAACAAAAGGTAATGGTATACTTACTAAAAATCGGTGAAGGCAGCGCTTAGAGTAGTAGGTACAAAAATAGATTTGCAACATAATGTGCTGCCACAGAGACTAAAAGGTACAACTGTGCTCAACATATTTATGCATTCACAGAGTTTTGGGTTGGGTTTTCCTCAAAGTGCACTGTTTGCAACAAACTCCGCAAGAGATAAGCAGCTACACGCAGTACAAGTAGCCTACTCAGCGTGTACGCTGCATTTGTCTGTTTACATGTAAGATAAAGAGAGAGAGAGGGAGTGTATATTTTAGTCTCAGAAAAGCACTTTTATCCTACACATATAACAAAATCAATCCCTAACAAAACAACCACCTTCAAACAAAGATGTCGTACTCCTACCGCTTGGCACACACACACACACACTTGAGACAAACGAACACTCAAATACTTCAGACGCCAACACACTCTTTCACATGCAACATTAAGATTCTCCTACAGCAGGGTCTTTTGTTTGTCACCATCTGTGCCTGGAGGACTAAATCAAATGAGGCAGAAGAGGAAGGCGAGAAAGAGAGAAAAGAAGCCTTTCTGCTGGTGGAGGGCCACTTTTCTGTCTCATCCCTGCAGATGGACCCTGCTGCTTCGCCAGTGGCCATATGCCCAGGGAGTAACATCGACGGTGCAGTGGAGGCATGGGACTGATGCATGGTTCAAACAGACTCTGGTACATATGGTACAGAGGTACTATAAAAATAAATCCTAGGAGCACGACTGTGGTTCTGCTGTTTGTGAGAGATTCTTTCCAAACATCCTGCGTATGCAGTATATGTGTCATCGTGCCCGTGTGTTCATGCGTGAGTGTAGATGCACGTGTTCAGATGTTGTGGTGCATGTGTCAGCACTTCATTCGGGAGTTAATTATAACGCTGCTGCATGTATGTGATAGTAGAATCACTATTTCCAGCTGCTGTATTGTTTTTGCCTTGTGAGTCTGTGTGTGCGTGACCTGGAGAAACAAACTGAAGTGGGATCAAAATTAGTTCTGAGCACCTTGGCAGGTGTTCATGTCTGTCTGTTGACAAATTTTATTAAGCAGATGACACATCGATCCCCCCCCCCTTTTTTTGGCCGAGGCTCTTGTCTCTCTCTCTTTATTTATTTATTTTTAAAACGCTGTTTCTTTCCAACTGTTTTTTGTATTGACACAAGTCCAAAAAAACTATTCAGGCTATCACTCTCGTCCTCTACAGCTTTATATTAGCACTATTCTTTAAGCTAAGCTACTATAGAGTGACTGTGCCAGCCCTTAGGCTCATGATGTCCTGGACACTGTCTGTCCTTTTAAAAATATTGACTGTCTTTACAGCTCAGATTTTGGCATGAAGATCAATCTCGGGATCATGACTTTTTGGTGGTAAAATAATTCAAACCAAAAAGAGTTATATTAATAACTAAACACTTTTAGGATGGTGTCATTTGATGCACTCTCTTGGCTGAAGTTTTGTCTGTTTTCAGTGTCTTCTTCATATATATGATGGCACTTGTACCTTTAGGTGTTGTGCTTTACTGACTGACTTTCAATGTATTTTTTTTTATCACGAGAATTCTTATCATCTGCCCTTAATCTTTTAAAAGAGATAGACTGGGATGATTTATTTATATTAGCATACATATTGATATACTATATTTTTCGGACCATAAGGTGCACCGGATTATAAAACGCACTGTCGATGAATGGGTCTGTTTTTATACATAAAGCCACCGGATTATAAGGCGCATTAAGTGAAACAAAACAGTCAGATAAGACTCAAACTTTACTCAACTCATTCTTCTTGCTTCCTCCACTTCCGTACCATTGATTCATTAATGTTGAATCCTCTCGCAGCTGCTCTATTCCCATGTTGTTGCAGTATATTAATGACTAACCTCATCTTGTGGTTGGATTATCTCCGTTGTTCTCCTGACTGAAGTTTGGTCTGTTTACAGCATCCTGCCATGCAATTGCATTTGTCAAAAACCATCGGGAACCCTCACGTTTAATTAGTTAGTGGTTCATCCTCCAGCTTCACTGTGTTATGCTTTGTGTTATGCTAACATAGCTGTGCCGCTAGCGATCACATAGCACAGCATTATATACCAGGTAGCCTAACTTCAGTAACCCTATAAACGTCACTACTGTTTAGTTTTCTGTCTTCATTTATGTTGGAAGTGGTAGCAGAGCTGTACGTTTACATTTTTTCAGAAATCTCTCAATAAGAACATGATATATCATGTTTAGGTAACTAGTGAAACTAGCGAGCTAACTTCCTGCTAACTTCTAACTCCGTTAAATTTAATAAATTCTGTTTTCATGGATACCTGGATGTTAAACGTAATTGTTAAACCTGGTGAAGCAGCAACGCTGATCATTTTATTAAAGTTAAAAGAATATAGACAGTTTTTAACTCTCAGTGTGCTGGACTGCTCGTTTGACTTTGGGACCTGGAGGGACGGAGTTTTGGACCCAGATTACTCTGAGTTTGCGAGGCTCCTGACTACAGTAGCCGTAATGCTCCGACAATCCATCAAGTGGTGCGGCTTCGTAGCTTACCAAAGTCGTACTACATTTTTTGACAGATGTTTGAGCGCCGTGTACCACATAAAATCGGTTCGAGGTCAGTAAGCACAACCAGAATTCAAACATAAGGCACACCGGATTGTAAGGCGAACTGACAATTTTTGAGAAAATTTAAGGATTTTAAGTGCGCCTTATAGTGTGGAAAGTACGGTAATACAGGGGTCTTAAACTCGCAACCCAGGGGCCACTTGCAGCCCACATCACCCCTACGTGTATGTTGACATGAAGAAATATAAAGCAATCTGGCGCCTGAAGTTACTTTTTTTGCTAGGGAGGATTTGTTTGTTGTTGAGTTCAATGTTAAAATAAGTTCTTTATGAAGCAAAAAATTATTTAATATGAAGGCAACATGAGCAGAGAGTACAAACATGTTGAGGGATTAGCTCTGTTAGTTCAGCGATTCATGTGTAAAGAAAACAATTTTCACTAGCAGTCAAAAACGAATGTGTACAGCTATGTCTGCATTTTTATGTTGTTAAATATGAACAAAATCATAGCAGAAGTGATGCCACGTGTCTGGCTAAAAAGAGAGTACTAATTTGTTTATTTGGTAGTTCAATGAAGGCTTCAGTTAGTTAAGAATGGGGGGGGGGGTAAAATTGCGTTCATGTTTGCAGTTTAATCTTTTTATACAATATTCGAAATTTTAAAAACCAAACAAAACACTACATTTTCGCAAATATTAGTGGGTGTTTTCTTGTTTGTTTGTTTGTTTTTTGTACTACTTGAGCACTAAAGCGGCCCTCCAATAAGATGACAGTGCCAACAGTGCAAGTTTGAGACAGCTGATATAATAAAAAAACACAATGATAGCAAGCCATGAAGTGGCAGAACATTACATTTCATCTAGCCTAAAGCTGCGTCCACACAGGGAGAGATTCACAGCGATGTGGCGAGCAGAAACCATAGAAAGTAAAAAAAATTACTCTGAAGTTGGTTATGTTGGCTCACAGAAAATCTGGCGTGGTGTGCATGTTTAAATATACGCTCCAGTGCTGTTCCATTGGTTTATCTAGTTTATCTGTTCTTTTCCAACAAAAAAATCTAACCAAATCCCAGTACTATCATACTCTGATGACATGGTCCAAAAAAATACTACTTCATGGACACGAAATGGGTATAACGTGCCCACGAAATACTTATTTGTGGCAGGCACCTTCAGGCCTGGTGGGTGTGGTCCTGCCAGCTGACCGGTCACACTCAAGGATCCTCACACACACCTGGCACCGATCAAGCCTCGTCGGAGGAGCTACAAAGCAGTGTGGCTGAGAGCTCCTCGACGCTGGATCGTTGAGTGACTACCCGTCAGTGTTCCCAGCAAAATCAGTGAGTGCGAGTCTGTCGCGTTGTAGTTGTGTGTTAACGGCTTCCTCTGTGGATTTTCCAGCAGGAGTGCGGGACCGGGAGAGCAGCGAGCAGAACTTTCACGGGAGCGGAGACACGGAGCAAGAGCACTGAGAAGGAGACACGGCACTGGACTTGGAAACGCACAGGGATTTATTATTGTGTATTGTTTACTTCACTGTAAATAAACACACTGCATTAATCGCACGGAGTTCCGCATTTTGAGTCCTTCCCCACACACCCACGGTCTGCCACGCAGACCATGACAAAAATAAAACTCAATCATTCTGTCTCTGGCCATGGTGTATAGGTTTAGCCTACTCTTATGCTTATGTCTCTATACGCAGCTGTCCAGGAATTGTATCAATGTGATGTGCACACGAAATACTATTTCGTGTGGCCACGAAATATTTCGTGGCCACAAATAAGTATTTCGTGGGCACGTTATGCTATTTCGAGGGCACAAAGTAGTATTTTGTGGCCACAGTTTATTTATTTTTTGGACCATGTCATCAGAGGGGCTCCGTACTATCATGCTACTGAAAGGATTAAATAAATTAGGATACTGATTTATAGCACTAACGCATCCACTATCTTTGTAATGCCATTATCTTTAAAGGTAACAGTGGAGAGATCAAGTGTAACACAAAACACACATTCAAGTAGTAAAATTCCTTTACACTGTATAGTAATCAGTTAATTAAAAGGTTGAGCAGAGTCTTAACTTGAAAGGTTTGTTGTTCCCAGTGTGGTGGTAAGGAGGTCAGGCCAAAAGGGCGGAGTTTTATAATGGCCACGAAATCAAACTGTCAGCTTCACAGCCATACACAACGACTGAATGGCTCCCTGTGTGTGCAGCTTAACTTTAATGCTATTTGGATTTTCATCTTCCTTTACACCCACTGTTATAGAAGACTTTTATGTGTGTTTACAAATATTTCAGCTGGAGTGCAGATAAAATACTCACTTTCGTCAAGTTGAAATAATTTGCACACTTTAACCTTTGTGTTCCTTCAGTTTTTTCTTTTTGGGAACTAAGGGAAGTCTTTGAGCACAAGACTTATTACAGACTTCAGAAACAGTCACCACTCCTTAAAGAGATCCACATACAAAGACAGGCGTGGGCTGACTATTACTACTAAGTGCTTTTTTAAATAATGTAATCATTTACTGTAATAATGCAGTAATGACAGCCGGCTACTCATTGATCAGAGCATCAGCATTTCAATTTGATTTACTCTTGTAAGGATTTTGAACTTATTACAGAAACCATCATCAGGCTCTGGGAAATCATTATCATTATTAATCACAAACAAAACTAACAAATTTTACAAAGGTTACACTTTATATCCCAAAAGTTTGATTGTGTTCATCTGGACGTAGCGTTTTCAGTGGGAGAAATGTTTCGTCATTCATCCAAGTGACTTTTCCCCAACCTTATGAACAGTACATTACACAATGACTGAAACTAGCCCACTGAATGAACAATGGGCTGTGAGGTCAGTTCCTTGATCACTTACACTTTATAATACAGCCTGTGACTAAGGGCATTATTGGAATTTCCATATATTTGATTTGAAATTACAATGTAATTATATTTAAATGCACATACTTAAAGGTAGCTACACTAGAATAAGGTAGGTCAGTTTTTTTTCTTTACAGAAAACTAATAAATAATTATACTGTAACTAAATTTAAGTACTAGTGTACAATTTCACTGTCATTTTGCAGAAAAACAAACAATATTTTACATTTTACAGAGTGGATCTTGGCTTTTTGCATCTTTATATAATATTCATTATGTTGATGTGGATGATCGATATTCTATTATTCAATTATTCTTGTATTTTACCATTATAAGTGTGATAAGGATCGTTCTTCCCTTCTATATTAAAAATAAATAACAAATAATAATAAATACCATCAGAATTTGCAGGCTTATGTGACCTTGATGATGGAAACAAAGTCTAACTTCATTTTTGTTTTTTCACAACGATTATTAGATACAACTTTCAAAATGAGTGTCGTTTCCTGTAAAATACCTAGAAGTCATGTACTACCTAAAATTACTTATACATTACTTAAATGAAAAATTAACTCATAGTATTATTATTTATTGTAGCATATCTACTTTAAGTATTTGTAAGTAAATAGAATTACACTGTAATTTCAAATACAGTACACTAAAGATCCATTCAATTGCAGGGGAATTACGCTCTTAATTGCAAACCGCATTACAAAGTGTTACCGAATGTAGTAGTAATGACAATAACCATTAGCATCACAACCTTTGCTGTCCGTGTATTAGAATTTTAGTGCTCCTTTGCTCCTACCTGTGAGCAGGTATTCGCCTCTCCCCAGCCACCAGTATGACATCACAAAGCTGTCTAGTCCGCAGGTAGCCCTCCATCTTGCGGAAGGTGACATCAGCATGGGACAGAGCGGTAAACATGCACTCCTCCGGACACGCGCACTGCTCCATTGACACACATGAGGACAGCGTGGCACTACTGTTAGACGTCCTGCGCCCACACAATGGCACACAGACAAGGACAAACATCCAACAAACACACACGGACAAAGACAGAAAGAGAAAGAGACAGTAACTTTCAGTGGATTTATTGGTGAACAAAGAGACAGATGTGTGAAGAGAGCTACACCAGCTGTTCTGAGTCATCTAATGTACCCTCTTTGTATGTCGCCAGAAGCAGACAAAAGATCTTTAATGGTTCAATTACTAGGAGTAAATGGCCAGATAAATTTAGCCCTCTTTAAAGAAAATCTGCCAATTAAATAGCTATGGGAGCTAATCCCATAGGATATGCAGTAATTTACTCTGCTCCCTAATGGCAACCAGTTTCCTTGCATTTATACCAACAACAGGAGACAGCAGAGTTTAGGACCAGGAAGGCTTCGACATTACTGTTGAGTTTATTTGTGCATGCGTGTTTGTCAGAGATGAGCTACCCTGTGAATTATCAGCCATCATGGCTCCCAAACCAGCATTTAATTTATGTGAGCCAGTGCTGTACTTCCATTTTTAATTTAACAGCAGAAGAGGCAGGACCGGCCCTGCAGCACAAAGACATAAAAATAAACTGATACTCCAAGGATAATATGAATTCAACTCCACAGTCAGGAGAGAACTCACACTCTTTTAGTGAAGTGTGTGTGTGTGTGTGTGTGTGCTCAAAGCTCAAGCTGTTTCAAGTCAAACTGTCTTAAATTGCAATTTTTCACTTGCATGTTCTACCAGGATTGAATAAAGAGAAAGGTAGAAAGAGATACACAGACATAAATTGTGGAAAAGGTGTTACAAAATGTGACTTTTGTACAAAACAATTTAGAGATTGGATTATTTACTCAGAAATCATTGTCACGTATTGGTGTAGCATGTTAAAAAAAACTATCACTTGGCACTTGAAGTTGCTATACATATTTTCCAATCCATATTTTTTTATACATGTTTGCACATAAATTAATACAGACAGACATTTCCTCTGAATTTCTTTGTGAGATGAAAATGATTTACAGCACTGACATTAAATATAGGATTCATTAGCTCAAAAGAATGTGTAGTTAAAAAATTTTTTTTTTAGTACTGGGGAATTACCACCTGACCATGAATTTTTACATGGTTATTTGTGTTCACTGTTTTAGATTTTCCATCCTACAGCTTTTACTGTTTTGTGTTGAGTCCCAATAGTCTTATCTGTTTTCCTCAGACATAGCAGGCAACTGTTTTGAGCACGGCAACCTCCAAAGGTCCTGTATACAACATAGACTGTATATTAAAAAGATGGATGCATCCTTTTCTTTCTGTTTATGGGTATACACATTTTCCGTTGAGATGCTTTTCTACAGACAAAATCTGCATCTTAATTAAAAGTGTATTTTTGTTCCCCCACCCAACTCAGAAAGGGCATTTTAGGCAGTGACTAAGCATGTATACATAATTGATGCATGCACAATACAGGAGAAGAGACCGTTTTACTGTTACTTTATGAACTTCCTTCTTATTTTTAGCCTTTTAATAAACAAAAATGTAGACTGAGTAAATGAAAACAAAACCAATACTCATGGTTAAAAAAAGAGATTTATTACAAAGTTTATGACTTTTCTTTGGCTCTTTCGGGGTGGAAAAAGAAAAACTCCTTTGCTCAGGAAAACTAATATCAGAGTGATGCACCTTGCTGAAAAGCTCACACTAGGGCTGTGTCAAGTCATCCTGTCCGTGATTATACCACCACAGATTTTTACATCATATCAGAATATCAGTGATATAGCAACACCACACCCTCACGTTCCCTAGCAAGCCTGGCAACGACACAATACCAGGCATGCTTGAGAGTGAGAGCAGGTTAGCTCCCCGATGACGGTTTAGTAACTAAAAAGAGAAGAAAGCTACTTCAACAACCTCCAACAAAAGCAGCACACTTTGCTTGCTTGCTTCTTGCTAAAGGTGTAAACGACAAATTTGCTTCATAGTTTGAGGCATCATCGAGTACAACCAGACTACAAAGGCTCGGCTGGAGGAGGATGTGCTAGCAACAGCTGATGTGCAACCCAGTGGATGGAAATGGTGCAACAGAAGCCCTTTAAGTAGCTGGTTAAATAGCTCGACCCAAGATACAACATCCCAGAAAGAAACTACATTTCAGTTTAAACTGTATTATGTGACAATACTGTGCAGACTCCTGAAAACTTCCAAGGTTAAGTATTAAGCCAGCAGCTTTTGCCTTTTAGAGTTGCCAGCAGCAAATCTAATGCTGTTGCTGCTGGCATCTTGTCATAAATATAATTATTGCAAATTTCCTTGAAATAGTGTAATGAAAATTTGAGGATATATCACCCACCCCTAGCTAGTCCTAGCTAAAAAACAAAGAAACAAAAAACTTAAGGATTCAAAACAATAGTCTACAAACTGGAGTGTGACCCCAGAGTGGCTACAGCCACCTTCAATACTGTCTATCGCCTGCTCAGCATCAAACCTAATAACCTGCTACTGCATATAATGAGGCTGTTGCAAATATTCTTAATGTGATTATAATTGAATATAAAAATAAATTAGAACATTTGTGTGTGAAAATGAAATCTGTTGTGGAAAATAAAATCAACATTACCACTTTTTGTCTCCCAAGTGACACAGAAAGCAAAGCTGGCTTTCCACCTTTAGATACAACGCTGCCGAGGGGTTAACGACGCATCCAGGAGAGTGAGAGCAGTGAATGATTTATCCTACCTTAATTAGGGAACATAAGTGGACAGATGTGAGCTGAACAACTGAGGGTCAGTGTTGTTAAGTTCTAACATTCATCTAGTTGTCATTTTCTTCCTTAAAAAAAAAAAGTTCTTTTGTTTTAGCAACTTTTCTCCATTCTCCAGCTGCTTCCATTTTCACACCGGATACTCTTCCTGATGCAATCCCCATGGGATCTGATTCTCCTCTCGAAATCAGGATCTTTTGCTTGTTAGGCGAATGTGTGAACCACTCCATATGGAGCCAGGCTGTTTCTATGTCTAACACTTTGTAATAACGATGAGCTAACAACATATATAAGCCAGCTTAATAGTTAGCGCTTGTGTCTATAAAAATGTCTTAAAAATACAAAACTCTCAGATGCTCAAGCCCGACAAGGATCTAGAGAGACTGGAGATGTAACACAAGATTTAATGGCTCAACTCTGTTTGGGTTTTTGATAGCCCTAACATAATGAACCATTTTTCTAGCTAAAGACTCTTTATTTATCAATAACCGACAGATTTACATTTATGTGGACAGAAAAGCGACCTCTTAAGCGGAGGTCCGCACCTGCTTGATGTTAGAGCAGGCATAACAAGGTCACCATTTCAAACCAAGTTAATGCAAGCTTAGGTTTTACGAGATAAGAACTCATTTGTGACTTTAATGAACAAACTCTCACTCTGTTTAAAAAAAAGAAAATAATGTGCACCTGGTGCGTTTATGCACATATTTAGTATAATCACATGATTAGGGATGGGTATCGTTTAGGTTTTATCCAATACCAGTACCAAACCGGTACTTTTGAAACGGTGCCGGTGCTTAAACAGTGCTCGAGCTGGTGCTTAAAGAATGGAAAACACAAAATTGGTCCAAAAACCTCTCATGTTCAGCTGTTTTTTTGTAAAAAGATAACAATGTTAGACTTTTCTGCAGCTATAGGGCATATATGGCATCACTCTTGGCTGGAAGCAGTGCTTAATCAATGGAAAAAAAACACAAACTTTGTCCAAAAACCTCTCATGTTTAGCTGTTTTCCACTTTTTCTTTGGTCATTTTAGCCTTTTTGGTCAGGGTGAAGGGAGTATGTGCCATCAAATAAGAAGACAGCCGCATGTAACTACGACTGTGTTTGCTAGTTCACCTTACATGCATTAATGTAATAACGTGGTTAGCCTACTCAACGTAAATTACACACGAACAACATTAAGCTACTCACGCAGAGAAGAACGGCTGCTGCTGCCATCATCATCCGTCATCATTTCTGCTACACTGGCAGGGCTACAGGCCAGGACTCTAATCTTCGGGTTTTTGGGGGATGGTGCTAACCCGGGTCCGATAACAGGCACCACACCCGCAGTAGAGGTGCACGATGTGAGGTCTTGCAGCAAGCTATCAAATACGGCACATTTCTCGGCTTTTAACAAAACGCTATGCGTCGCCAGGTGTTTCATCAGATTCGAGGAGTTACCTCCTTTGCACAGTATCACCTTAAAGCACTTGTTGCTGGCTGCTGAGTTTGCATCTTTTGCTGAGAAGTACAGCCAGACTTTGACCACTTCGCTTTGGGCATTTTTAATCTGTAGCTCTGCTCTAAAAGAACGTACGTACCTGGGCCCGCCTACTATCCTTGCAAAGGTAAAATGATTGGCTGGAATCCAAAGTGTATGACATCTCAGGAAAAAAAAAGCACCAAAATAAAGCACCGAAATGTGTGCTGCTTTTCGGTCTGGTTACTACCGTTTATGTCAGAATGGCACCAGATACCGTTACCCATCCCTACATGTGATACAGCCAGGCTCATCTCTGCCTATGTGCATTCTCTCTCTGTCCTGTTCCAACTTTCATATCTCCAACTAATCTCATTACTCACTCTCTTCATTCCACCTCATCCCAACATTAATCTTTGCCTCAATTTTCTCCCTCTTTCCTATCCCGTTCCAACCCTCCAAGGAGGCTTTTTGGCTGGCTTTCCTGCTCTCTAGCATGTGCATGTGTGTGTGTGTGGATGTGTGTCTGTAGACGAATGGTGTGGCTAAATACTGCCAGAGGAGACGGCTTTGAAGTAGGGGAACGCTGCCTTCCAGTCCCCTTAACTGAGCCTGGCAACCACTCAATATGGACAGAGAGAGAAAGGAGGAAGAGAGAGTGTGTGTTTAGGGCAAATCAACACCATGAAGCCAGATTTTTTAAACCCCCGCACCAGGCAAGGGCACTCGCCCAACTGTCATTGGGTGTCTCTCTCCCAGCCTCTTTAATACGCTCACTTCCCAACACATTAGCAAGGGAAAAAAAGAAGGGGTGGAGGGGGAGGGCAATGAGTGGCCAGGGGTGGGCAGAGATGAATGTGGGACAGGAGGAGAAAAAGGGTAAGTAAGGGAGGTACACCAGGATTAAACGAAGGAAAGCTGGGTGGGGTGTGAAAGTGAAAAGGAGAGGAGGAGATGAGTGGAGCCGAGCAGCGCCTTCAGTCGCTCTGGGATTCTGTGCGCGTCCCTTCCCATGATCCCATTTGGGATTCTGCCACCCGTGTTTTGGAGTATCACACTGTACACAGGAGCTCTCTGAGGATGAATCGGACAGAGAAACACACAAACAAACCCCCACACACCACAAAACAAACATGCTGAAAAGCTACACATGTATGCAGCATACACTAATGTCTGGGTTGGTATGGCAACAATAATGTGTGCAAGGACACGGCTTCGTCCGTATACGTTTCCATTCAGACTCATGCAGTGAAAATTTTCTCTGCCTGTGTTAACGAGGCATGTGCGTGTGTGCGTGCTTGTGTTACTATTAGGCAGAAGTAATTTGCCGTGTAAGCGCCGCCGGACTACCATCGTCACTGAAGATACGACATTAAGCCTTGCATAACAATGGGTATTTTTAAGACCTCAGTTTTCTCCTTCACAAGCAGAAACATACACGTTTGCGGTGAAAACAAGTTCATGAAGAGACATCAAAGATGAATCGGTTTTTAAAAAAAATAGGTATATCAACTTTGGCTCTGATGAAAGCTGTGTGTGCACACATGTGCGTGCATTGTTTCCAATGAACCTTTTATATTTTCTGAGGTGTATGGGGAACACGGAGTACGATAGAAGGCTACCAGACGCATTTTGCCTGTATAGTAAACACACCTAAAGAAGCTGCCTAAACATTGCCCGTATTTTACAACTGCATCACAATAATATAAGTGTGGTTAGGACATCCTAATTACCCTGTTTTCCTATCTCCAAGGCAACTATTAATTAAATGGCTTTTTCACACCACTACAGCTGGATGGTCACACAGATGCAACACACTTCTTTCCGCATGTGAACACAAGCATGCAGAACCCTAAGGATTAAGAATAAAAGCCTTCGACTCTGATGCTGAAAACAAAACAATACAAATGTCAAGTGCAGTATGCAGCAACATGCAGAGCTCAGCCCTAGAGTCATATTGTAAATGACTCTGAAAATCCCATAAGCACAAGAGTGAATTTCTGTTTGTGTTTGCATGCATCGTCTAATAACAGAGCCTGACTGGTGAAGTGTTATTAGTTGGTTGGAGGGAGAAGTCAGTGCACCACACCCAAATGTACTCAGCCCTCACCTTCTCTATCCATCTTTCCATCTGTCTGCATGTTGAGAGTGGTGAGAGCATGCTGTCTGAACAGCCTTCTTATTCTATTAACTCATCAGGGGGGAATTCAGCTTCCATAGACCCTGTGTGCGCCAGAGATCAAAAGGAACAACAATAAAGAAAATAAATGATAAATGGCCTGTATTTGTATAGCACTTTTTCTAGTCCCTAAGGACTCCAAAGCGCTTTACACAACCTGTCATCCACCCATTCACACACCGGTGATGGCAAGCTACAGTGTAGCCACAGCCACCCTGGGGCGCACTGACAGAGGCGAGGCTGCCGGACACTGGCGCCAGCGGGCCCTCTGACCACCACCAGTAGGCAACGGGTGAAGTGTCTTGCCCAAGGACACAACGACCGAAACTGTCAAAGCCGGGTCTCGAACCGGCAACCTTCCGATTACAAGGCGAACTCCCAACTCTTGAGCCATGATTGCGAATAAATTCACATTTTCTATTTAATTGTATTTCTTCCTTTTGAGCTATTGTACTTGTTTAAGCCATTTCATTTGTCGTTAATGTTTGGCCTACTATAACACATGATTCCAACGTAAATGAAAGTAGATCCCATCTTAACAACGCACTAGACTGCAAACAGCCCAACTAGAAGAATTACAGCTTGCCAAATGCTCTTCTGATAAGTTGAAGCTAACACCGAGGAGTTCTCTACTTGTTTAAACTTTTCAGGGAAGTGTGCGTCTTTCACACAACTAAGTGCAGAAATTCTGCTCACAACTTTCACCTGAAAAGTCAGAAACTGCCAACAGCATCCCCTACTACTACCTGCAGGAGCTGGAGTCTGTTTCCGGGTGGTTGTTGTTCTCCTCGTTGCATGCTGCTGCCGCCACCGCTGCTGTCGCCGCCGCCGCCTCCTCCTCCTCAACCCCGGGGGGCTCGGACACCAGCTGGGGTGCAGGGGCCTCCCCGGGGGGCTCCATGCTCGTCACGGGGCGAGAGCGACGTTGAGGCGGCGGGGAGACCCAGGACAGCGCTGCGGAGGAGCTTCGGCACTCTGGCTGGCTGAACGAGCGGGGACAGGAGCTCCCCGTCGCTCCAGCTGCCGCTCCTCCCGGACCGCCCCGACTCCCAGCCGGATCAGCAAACTTTCTGCTGCTGCCGCTGCCGTTACACAGGTTAGACCCAGCGCTGCCACTGGCCACCAGACCGCCGTGACTCCCCGCACTGGGGTTTACGCTGTTTGAATTCGAGTTGCTAGAGCCGCTAACTGAGGGTCCGTCTCCGGAGCTGCCGCCCGCTCTCCTGCCGGGGAAGTAGTCTCCTAGCGGCGGGGAGTGAGGCGGAGGGACCGCGGGGTGACCGAACCACCTCCATCGGATTCTCAGGATCTGCTTCACATCGAACTCCTTCCGCGAGGAAGAGCCCGAGCCGCTACTCGACATTCCAGGGCTCGACACGAGGAAATGGCGGGGAAGATCCCGTGCCGCTCTGCCGTTAAAACTGTACACTGCACTGCACGCGCGTCTCTCCTGGCAACCGCACGCCCGGTAACCGCGACTGGAGGAGTGAGCTGAATATAGCGGAGTATACAGACACACAAAGAGAGAGAGGGAGAGAGGAGGAGGAGATCTACTCTTAAGAGCCAGAGCATTTCAAGTAACCACAAACATCTGCCACAAGGACACGTTCATGTCACAGCTCTGCCAAATGACACAGAGCTGAAAGAGAGTGGACCATCACCATCACCGTCTTTTCCCCCGTCATTACTCAACAGACCAGACAATCAGTCGATATTAATTAATAGGAGATGGAAGCCAGCAGACAGGCAGTTTGTTGTGCGCGCTGAGGTCGATTAGTCGATCAAAATGAAAATAACGACCAACTAGGGCTGCTGCTAACTGTTTTCAGGATCGATAAAGTAATTTTTGGTTCTATCGATTAATCCCAGACCACTCTGGAAAATGTAAGAAGTCCGTGAAAAATGTGAAATTGCTTGTTTACTAAAAGGATGCAACCTTCAAAGCTGAAAAAAAGAAAAAGTGCTGTTTCACTTGGTGCCTGAGGCTGCCTCCGAAAGTCAGTCCCCACGGGCAGCCATGTTAAAATGTCTAACGGTACAGCCTTAAAATGCATGTTTACAACCTGCTGCAAAATACAGAGTTGGCAGAGTGAACATTTTGTTGTTGCTCTTTGATACTACTTCAAAAAATTCTTACAACTTAAAACTTTTTTAGCTTTAAAAAGTATTAATGGGGGTATCTGACCTAACTCACGTTGCACTTTTATTTAAAAAAAAAACACAAGAGGAGAGGCAATACTGTCAAACTGTTGCAGTTTGGCTTGCACTCACACATGCACAAGTCCCCAAATCACAGGTTAAAAACCAAACTCCACAGTCACACCCTGTATAATTAATAAACCTGTGCAGTGGGCCACCTTTACAGGCTACAGGGTAGAATCCATAATTACAGTAATAAAAGTGCAAAAATAACTTAAGCTGGAAGTAAAGCAGGAGAGATTGGGGGTGGCTGTAGTGCAGAAGGTAGACTAGTCAGCCACTACTCGGAAGGTTGGTGTTTCAGTACCTGGCTGCCGTAGCCCTTGTGCCAAAGTAACCTTGGGCACGATACTGAACCCTGAGGTGTTCTCTGATGCCTTGATTGGAGTGTGAATGTTAGATAAAAGCACTTAATGAACTTAGATATAGGCATGTTGTGTAAAGCACTTTGAGTGTTTAGATAGAGTAGAAAAGTGCTGTTTAAGAACTTTTTGCCAGGTTTCCCCCCAAAAAACGATCGACTGTTAGTGCAGAATAGCCTCAACAAATTAATATTAATTGTAGCAGAATCGTGCTTTCCAACTACCTATACAAGCTAAAGAATAACCTCTTTTTAGCTCCAAAGAGATGTGAGGGGTACCCATAGTCTTACCTGCACAGGCCCATACGCTCCAACTCAGCTTCCTCCTCAGTCATGTGGCCAAGAACTAAGCTACTATTAACCAAATAATTACCTTGAGCTTGAGCTGCAGTAACATATTGATGTGGGTATTAAATTTCTTCATTAACAAACTGTATGACTTCATTGTATGCATAGCTGCTTTCTTCTTCTTCATATTTTGGCTGCTCCCTTTAGACGTTGCCACAGTGAAACACCCCATCCCTAGCATCCTCATCTCTCTGCCTTCTCTACATCCACAAATCTTATCCGTGGTATTCCTCTTTTTCCAACTTCTTCCAACTTCCAACATTCTTTGTCCGGTGTATCCTGTATCCCTCCTCTGCACATGGAGGACCATGTCAGCCGTTTCTCCAAAGTGTCCATCTGATACACTCATTTCTAATACTGCACCATCCTGGTCAACGTCAATGAAAATCTTAGCACCTCCTGCTCCACCTTTTTCTTTCTTTGTGTCCAAACCATATATCACAGTAGGCCTCACTGCCATCTTATAAACTTTCCCTTTCACTCTTGCTACTTTTCTTCTGTCATAAATGCAGTGTTGGGACTAACGCGTTATTAAGTAACGCGTTACAGTAACTACGTTATTATTGTGGTAACGAGCACGGTAACTAGTTATTATGCCAAAATCAGGAACGCGTTACTCGTTACTGGGATTTAGATAGGCTCGTTATTCGTTACTTCGTGTGGTGGCTATCGCGGAGCTTCTACAGATTCAATAACAATAGCAAGTGGTGGAGGCCAGCAGGTGGATGAAGGAAAAGGGAGGCAAGAGGAGAGACCCGAAGCGGCCGCTGGTCCGAGAGTGTCAGGTGAACTGAACTTCAGGTAAGAAGTTATGACCTGCAGTCCATCTGGGTCAGATATGAACCAAGTTTAGATGGAGTTTATTTTCGTTATGCTGACTTTTTCGTACTGCGTGCTAGCTAGCATGACGGAGTTTCTATACAGCTGGTTGAGTGCTATGTTACTGATGTTGGACTTTATTTTGTTCATAAGGTTAATTATTAGAGTTGCCAACCGTCCCGTAAAAAACGGAATCGTCTCGTATTCAGAGAAAATATTACGCGTTTCGTATTGAGGTGAAAAGGAACAGTTTGTCCCGGACTTCAGCTACAATGAAAAAGGCACAAAGCTGGAGTTATTCTGTGTTTACGCTGCAGCTGCCTCTTCTCTCATTCTCTCCCCCTCCCTCTCCTGTTTCTACTTCAATCATGAAACTGATCAATGATCAGCTGATCGGCTTTTCTCTCTTGTTTATTTATCGCCTGCTTTGCGCCAGAAAGAGGAAACCAGCAGATGTCACGGTAAACAACAGCAGCACGTTTAAGCTTGATCAGCTGTTGTTAGAATTTCTTTAATATTAATTTCTAGTATCAGCTGATGTTGGCTGGAGCCACAGCTGTAAACCTGCTGGTCATGATATCGGTTTGGATATGTGATGAGAGGGAAACATGAAGATGAAACCAGGAGATGTCCTTACTGAATCATCAGAGCTGTGATGGAGAAACAGGTTTACCTTTTAGGTGACATGAATGAGTTGAAGGGAAGTTATGAACTGTTTCTGAGAGACAAATAACACCAGGATCCTTTTTTAGGTAGCTGACAGCTGGTAACTGTGCAGGGGCGGGTCTAGCAAAGTGTTGCCAGGGGTCCATGTAGGGCATTAAAAGGGAAAGGGGGGCACAAGGAAATACTTTCTTATTCTCATTTAAAATGTCTCACTTTTAAAAAAATAATTATCTGAGTCTTACAACAAACATTGATAGATTGATCATATATACCATCAGAACAGTGTACATCACTGTCACAACAGTGTTTATTTTCATTCAAAGGCTTTATGATTTTTCCTATAATGGTGGGCCGGTCTCTAGTCAAAATGCCCGGGACGATTTTTTTGTCCCAGTCCAGCCCTGTATGCAGCTCATCTGCAGTCTGGTGTTACCTACATCTTCCTATTCAGAAGGCAGAATTTCCGAGTTCTGAGTACAATCGAAAGCACCACGACTGCAGTTTTTGTGTTGGATGTAAAAAGCAGGCTAGGATAGAATCAGGGTGGGATTTCTCTCGTGGAAATGTGCACATTATTTTTTCCTTTCTATTGGTAGGTGGCACAGTGCACTTGTGGCAAGTAAGCAAGCTACTGGCAATCTTGCTGGATATCCAGTTACGGAAGCAACACATTAACAAGAGAATTCTGAGTAAAACCAAAGTTACTTTCCCTAGTAACTAGTTACTCTGAAAGTAACGAGTAACTTGAAGTAACTGAGTTACTTTTGATAGAAGTAACTAGTAATGTAACTAAGTTATTAATTTAAAGTAACTTACCCAACACTGCATAAATCACAAATCATATTCATCTCCACCTGCTCCACCCTACCTGGTCTCTCTTTGTCACCTCTCTTGTCCCCCCAGGTGTATGTCAGTAGAATTCACAGACAACAGTGACCTTTAAGGAACCCCATAACTGCATTTGTGTGTATTTTTAAAGGACTATCTAACAAATTACGGTTCACTGTGTGGTACTTCAGTTTTGCTGAGGGAAATTCTTGTATTTTTTTTTTTTAAAGTCCACGCTAATTAGCTGATATGTGTGTGCGCATTGCACCCACGCATCTTATGAGTGCAGCTTGCCAACCAAGCTACTGCTCCACCCTTTAATCCACATCTGGCTCCAAAATAAAGCAACAGGGAAACAGCTAAAACCTTCCAAATGTGGAGTTCAGTGGGTGACGCCACAGTTAATTTTGTGATTTTCAAGTAAATGCAACAAACATCCCACTAGTGTGAGGCTGAATATAGTAACAATTTTGGTATTCACCTTTGAAAAAAAAAAAGAGCTTTAGTGTTAAGACTCTGGTTGCAACAACAGGGCACGGTTCAGGTTACATAGGATAATTTGTAATAAGTCGTTACAGAGCTGCTAAGAGACAAACAGGTGTCTTTGTAGCTTTCAGTGAACACGAAGGTTTGTGAGGCTGCAGCAATCATTACATGGTAATCAGAGACTCTAAAATGTAATGAGGCGGTGGACACAACCTCTTCATCATCTTCTTACCTTGTCTAATGGTGTTCACTCACTCCTTTCTGCACCCTTATTTCTCTGAGTCGCCGTCCATGTTATTGCCTCTGAACAATCTTACACTTTTTGGAAGCTGGCTGCAATACACTGATGTGATGATTTGTTTCTTACGCAGATACTGAAAATAGCCTGCACTGCCTCAAATCACCACAGCGGGAAGGCCTGAGTTTTCCTTGAGAATAAGATTTCACCACACATGCACAATCTTAGACAGACATGTCTCTTGTTTTTGGCCCATGCACATGAGATTACTCTTCTTCTCTATAAGCCATTACTATCATCCATCCATTACTACGCTCCTTCCTTCACATCCCCCTTTTCTCTCCATCTGCAATGCAGCAGCTATTCATGGACAATAATGATCTGTGGGAGTGGGCCCTGTGGGAGCCATCCCATGCAGACACACTCGGGGCACCCGGCGGCCCAGCCAGGCAGAACCTTCTTCCCTTCCCGCAGTAACCCCGGGACGACCACAGGATGTGCCAGAGCCAGAGAGCCGGAACACCTTATGTTCTGGATGGAGTCCCACCAACAGGAGGGGAGGGATGCTTTAGGAGTTCCACTCTAGCAAAAATCAATAAGTCAAACAGCTGAGGTCAGTTTGTGAATTACACAGATGGGAGATGTGTTACTCATAGATTGGCCCTGCAGAGCAACAGCCAGTCGGAGAGATTCATTTTTTCCATAAATAAATGACTGAGAGGAGCAGTTTAATACGGCCGATTTAACTTTCACCGCTTTTGTTTGCCAGGTTCTGAGAAACAGGGCTTTTCTTCAGCTTCAGGATGTGCTGATGACTAAGTGCAGGACCACCCTGCTGCTTTATCCGATCAATACTACAAAGTCAATACAAACGCACACAGACACAGGCACATAGAACACACACACATAAACCAAGGCTTTGAGGAAGCATGAAACCAGCAGCAGCATCATTATTAAAGCAAAGAAGTAACAAAAAGTCAAGGAAGCGAGAATGATTTCACAGTGACACATCATACTCCTTTAGAAGGAAACACTTTAACTTGTTAGAGACACTGGACTTATTTATACATGCACTCGCCAGCCACTTTATTAGTTACACCTGTTTAACGGATTACAATGCAAATATCTAATCAGCCAATCACATGGCAGCAACTCAGTGCATTTAGGCATGTGGACAGGGTCAAGAACACCTGCTGAAGTTCAAACTGAGCATCAGAATTGGGAGGAAAGGTGTTTTAAGTGACTTTTAACATGGCAGATGTGCTTCTCTGAGCATTTCTGAAACTGCTTATTTACTGTGATGATCCCACACAACCATCTCCCCAATGGAAAAGAGAAAGTATCCAGTGAGCAGCAATTCTCTGGGAGAAAATAAATGCCTTGTTAATGCCAGAGATCTGAAAAGAATGGCCAGCTTCCTTTGAGGTGATAGGAAAGCAAAAATAACTCAAATTACCTCTGGTTACAGCCAAAGCATGCAGAAGAGCATTTGTGAATGCACAACATGTTGAACCGTGAAGCAGGTGGATTACAACAGCAGAAGACCACACCAGGAGGCCACTCCTGTCAGCTAAGAATAGGAAACTTAGGTTAAAATGCAGATGGGATCAACAACATTGGGCAATAGAAAATTGAAAAAATGTGGCTTGGTCTGAAGGGCCTTGACATTTGGATAGGTTCAGGTGCTTTGTGGCTTAGACTGCTACTGGATGTGTAATGGTGTGGGGGGTATTATCTTGATACACTTTTCAATACTAACTGAGCATTGTGTAAACACCACAGCCTATCTGTCTGATAGCCCCATGTCACAAAGCTTAAATCATCTGAAACTGGTTGTTTGAACATAGCAATTAATTCACGCTGCTCAAATGGCCTCCACCATCCAAAAAGCACCTCTACGATGTGTTAGAATGAAAAATTCACAACAAATGTGCAGCATGTGTGATGCCATCATGTTAATATGGACCAAAATCTCGGAGGAATGTTTGCAGCATCTTGTTGAATGTATACCTCAAAGAATGAAAGCAGTTTTGAAGAAAAAAGGGAGTCCAACTTAGTATAAAAACACATATTTCACATGTGCAAAAGAGCTAAACAACCTTAATTTAAATCTATCGGCATTATTCTGCTTTCTGGAGACCATTCTCCAGGCTGAGAGACCACAAGGCATAGCACATATAAAGGCAGGTGCAGTGAAGGGCTGCAAAGATGTATAATACAATAATAGTTCCTTTGATTTCATGTGACTTTCCAATTACCACTGAGTCTGTGCAATTTCCCCACAGTGAGAGAAATTTATCACATAACATCTATGTATGCATGAGCACAAATCCTGAGATTTCCAGTACAAATCTGTCATTTAACTGGTGGGGTTGTAAATAATGTGATCTTTTTTATTATTTTTTAGTTATGCTGTGTTTAGACCATAGAAACTGAAAATGGATGTGTTTTTTGAAAAGTGAAACCAACATGGAAGTCCTGTGATTGCACAAAGGTTTGTGAGGCAAAAACCCACGATTCCCACAGCAAACAT